CACAATGCACCAGGTTTTAGTTGTGTCTAATGATCTGCTTTGTGCCTGGATATTTAGTTTTGAAGCACGTAGCACCAGTTTCCAAACAGCTGCGCCCAGTGACTTTAAAGTGAGCTTGTTAGTATGCTAAGGTGTGAGTGAGATTTGTTTAGCAGGGATTCTGTCATAAAGCTAAGCATTAGACACAGGTTTCACACTTGAAAAGCCAGCATTGTTACGATTCACCGTGATGGAGACCTCTATGTCTGGTTCAGTTTAAATGAGGCAACGCAATATAACAGGAATCCCAAACACAGCCACAAATATACAACAGGATGACTTCAAATGTTTTCAATTGAGATCACTTATGTTTGTCAGTTTCTTTCAGAAATTGTTGAATAGTTTGACTCAGCTCCAATGATGACTGCGTCGTAGCGGTGTTAAAAAAGAGGAACTCAGATTAACATAAATCTTAGAATTCAGATTCTGAATCTGGCCTTTCAGTGATGTCAGGCAGAAAATGGGTATTAAAAAGTTAGGATTCTCTTTTTAAAAACCCTAAATGTCATGACAAAATCTTTGGTTGGACCTCCCTAACATTGGCTGAAAATGAAGAAAAGATCCATTGCAGTGATAAGTGATCCGCATCTGTGATAAATTGGTATGTGTGTCACACACACACCAGTGGAAAAACACTGCCTCGTGAAAAGGAAGGTTAAAAGACAAAAGAATGGGAGACACACAAAGTGATAACCACGAATAGACAATTGAGAGAGGAAAGCTACTATCTTGTCTGGTGAAACTCTATCTTTCAACTTCATTACTCTAGTTCAAAGCAAGTAATTCCACTTTAAAGTGCCTCCACTCGCAGATTTCTAATGTTTCTCTTCCTCCTGTGAAAGGATATCATTTCAAAGAAAGGAAAAATTGTTTCTCATCCCCCGCCGGGTTTTTTTGCTCAGTAAAGCAAGGTTACATTGTAATAAGAATTTCAATAATGTCTCCGTATCAGTGCATGAGCTGGAAGCCTGAGAAATGTTGTTGGAATCATCAAGGAGAGATATGGCTCTCTTAAATTCAGGAACCTGTTTGAACGGGATTTAGACACTACATGTCCTTTACAATCTGGGTACATATAACATCATTGTGAGGATATTTCTGATATTTACTCTAAATTCTCTAACTATGTCTTAATTCTTAATTTTAGGAATTGAGTTGAAAATCCATTGAATATAGTCGGCCATAATGTACTCTATTGCAGCAAAACATGTCAGCCTATATTGGACTAGCTGGAACAACATAGGTCAGGTACATTATCATAATCTATTGGTTGAACATAGTAGTAACTTAGTTGTAAATTCAGTAAGAACAGTGGATTAACCATAAATAAGTCATCCCCGCTTTTCATTCTGAATGAGTTTGATGTTTGAATCAAATATATATCAACAGCAATAAGATTCAAGAGGAAAAAATAATCATTTCTGATACTCATAAGTCCCATTCTAAAGACCATCGGTCTAAATTGTGTTCTGTTTTTAGTGTACTGGACAAGGTTAACAGGTGAACTTGACATGCTTACATAACACGGGTGAACTTTGTCTCTGAGTGAACGTTAATATACGCGGTATTCTTTTAGAGCGGCTGTCTGAAGCTGTTCTGATAAAGTGCGGGCGGTTTGATACGGCTATAGCAGCTAACTTTTGGCTTATGAATAGAAATATGTTGACAGTAAGGAATGAAGGTAATTAATTTCTTATGATCTAGGGAGCAGTTTTAAACTGGAAACAAACTCTAACGAGAGAGGGGGTCAGGTTGTGTGTGTGTGTTGGTGGGGAATTCCATGATAAAATATACCTTGGAGTCTGACAGACTTGTTCATTTCAAACTGTAAATACAAAGCGAGTGTCTTTTGTTTTCTAAGAAGCCTTTTACTGGATGGGCTGTAAAGGCGTTGGCTTGCTGTTAAATTCATAAATTCAGCCGTACTCATAAATTATTGTGTTATCTGCTGTGAAGGAGCAGCAGACTCCCATCTCTACACTTTACTAATCAGAGCTGATGTCACTGGGGCTGGGTGGGCCCTGCCTTGTTAATAATTGAGAGGCCAGCAATGCACATGAGCAATTTCTTTAATCTCCCAAACATTTACCTTTTAATGTACCCTTTTAGATTTGAGTTAAAACAGCCTTGAAAACAGCTTCATTAAACATGAAGGGTTCCCGGTGAACTTAATATTCACTGCCATGTAAATCCTTATTTCTCAGAAAGAATCTCTGAATATAAAGAAACATGTTTTGTCCTCTTTACGTCCTCATGAATAGAACAAAATAATATCTTATATATCATTGGCTATATCCTTAAAAGGTTTGAAAACATTCTATTCTATTCTGAGTTGTTTTAAGACCCTTTTTCAATCAGGATTCACAACTCCACTATATTGAGTTTGGGATCAGTTCCTTCTGCCTTACCAACATGTCTCTACTTTTACTTAAAGTACTGAATTAGCTGGAGGCTACTGGGTGAGCTATCATTCATCACATACACATTTTAGGTGTGTTTTTAATATCCTAATGTGAATGCTTATTACATCTTTATGTCCAGAACATTGGCCTGAATTTATAACTTAAGTAATAATATCTATTTAGCTCTAATTTCTTTTTTCATTTGTGATCCACAGATTAAAACCTCAGTGTTGCAACTGATGACAAAATTCATTTTCCCACCAATTTAAAGATATTCATCTAGTTTGGAGATAATGAAATTAAACAAAGGAACAAAAAAATTCTGTCCCGTCATTTTCTAAGGTTTGGCCTACCTCTTGAAGTTCAAGAGCCTACAGTAACCTCCGTTTTCACTTCAAGTGATTCATCAAGACAGACTGAGTGTCTCCATATCTGCTAGACACCCTGAATTGCTCTGGCAACAGTCAGTGTGATTCCCCTGATTACTCATTAACCTCCCTGGGTTTATAGAGGATGCACAGTGCTCACACGGCCCAAGACGCCTGAGCAGCACGTGACTGGACACCAGAATCAACCTATTTCACTTAAAAATCCGCTGTACGACCAAATATAAAAGGGATCGGACGCTCACACAGCTGCACATGATGATACCCAGGCCTGAAGGGACCCGTGTGTGTGGGAGTGGGTCATGTGTACCCCGGTGATGGATGTGTAACTGAGGAGCCATCTGATATTCCTGGATCGTTTACACTGTAAATGCCTTCAGTCGAAGCTAAACTTTTTATGTAAAGGTTACCGGCTCCGTTCTGGGAAGCGCACACACTGAATCACGCTCAACGTGACTCGCTGTATATCAGTCCGTGCTCCAGATTTTTTGTTCTTTTCCATGTGGCCACTTATTGAAATGAAGATAACTCAGTTATGCGGCTTTCTGGAACATGTAAGCGTAAGCAGGATTGGATTCACACGGTGATTGCATCTTATCTAAAAGAAACAAACTTGACAGTGGAAATCTTTTGTCCTCAGTTGGACATGAAATGTAAATTCGAACATCAAGGCAAAGCAACAAGAAGAATGAGGGGTTCTGTAGGCCGAACAATGGAAATGGATGGAAAGAAAAATACCAGGTGAAAAGAGCCCACTTTATGAAGTTGTGACTGAATGTAAGAGGAATAACTTGGCAAGCTATGTCAAGTGTGAAATGTATGTCACTGATCATGACAAGTTTGTTAATCTTTTGAAGGGAGGTCGATTGATGGACTTTGGTTCGTAATTACTTCCCTCTTTCCATGAGTTGCCCACCAAAGCTTCAGATAGGACTGTTAATATTTAACAGAGAGCAGTGCAAGGCGGCAGCCTCTGCTCCCTCTGTCAGGGCTTTAAAGATAAACTGTCTGAACCCATTGCCTTATCTTTAAAGCTCATCTTTTATAGCTTTGCAACCAGTATGGCTGCATTACAGTCTGTTCAGCTGACCTAAAAGAGGAAGAATTCTTCTTAAGTAGGAGAGCAAGGAGAGTGGAAAAAAAAAACCCTGGCTATTTTTAGCTTTATTAGAATTGGGCCTTAAATTTGTGGGAGTTGGCAAGAATCACTATAATCACTTCAAGCAAGATGAGTTGTATAAGCTGAAGGAGATCATCATTGACATATACTGTATATGATTTATAATACCCAAATCCTCTGCATTTTGTCCTCATGTAAACTTTGAGCTTCTGCAGATCACTGTCATTTAATATATTCAGCAGATTATGATATTAATCACAGATATAGACTATACGATCTAAACTCACCATCTCCCTCTTATATAACACAGGCCGAGACGGAAAATGCCACCAAGTGGAATTTTAAAGGGTGAAAAATGAGCTTTTAGAAGCTAGTTTTACTGAACTGGACTGAACTTATTGATCCAAACTGACTCGCTGGCTCTCAGAAACGACAGCAGGCACAGGTAACTCTTTCTCTCTTGCACAATTTGAGTTGCATCATGCGGCAGGACGACAGACACGGAGCACGCACAACAGCAGGTGACGGCTAAAGATCTGCCGGACAATCCATACATACGACGGCAGACTTTAGTGTCGAGTTTTACCTTCTGGGCTCCTGTACGTTCAAGTTTAGGTACATAAGTGTAAATAAATGGTCGCCCAAAAAATGAGCTGGGACATTTGAATTTTTCATGCTTCAGGGCTTAACTTAGATATTTCTGAGAAGTCGAGGTCGCAGAGGATCTCATGGCAAAAAATTCCAGGTAGAACTTTGTTCTAGTTTTGAGTTTCCTTTTCATAACAAACATTGTGTTCTTGTGCTGTTGCATGTCAGGTATGACAGTCTTGTCCCCAGTTTGTATCTTTCACACATTCAGAGTTTCACAACGTGTGGGAAAGGCCTCTAGCCGTCTGTCAGAAAACTGGTTTTCGTACCAGGGAATGTCTGTAAAACTCCACTATGCTGGCGCCACCAGTCAGAATTGTATAATGGTCCAAGAAAGGATAATAAAAAGTAAGGAGATTAAGCTGTACGCACAGATTTTCAACTTTTCATTCTAAATACATTGGATTTAGTCCAGCACAGAAGCCAAACAGACGTTTTGCTTAAAAAGAAGTGTTTTATTTCAATTTAACAAAACCTAATACAGATTTGAAGCCAAACTGCGGAACACTGGCAAATCTCAATCCAATCAATGTGTGTGGGAAACCAAGAAAGGATGAAAAATAAACTAAACAAGGACATCTCAAATCATCGTTCAACCCAGAAAATGGTGCATGTCTTCTGGAAAAAAAAAATTATAACGAACATGAGGTTTGGCTAACCAGTTGTTGGGGACGTAAAGAAGATCCAACTTTCAGTAAAATGTCAAACAGGTGTTGTGTTCAGTTCCAACCCAGATAAACGGGTCTGACAATGTGCGTTTAATTCCATTTTAGAAGAGCAATTTGGTCAAGTACATCCACAACACATACTTTCGATTTTTAGCCAGAAATGTACATGTACTAAATCAAAATGGAACTGTCTTATGCGGCTGCTGTCTGCGAGTGGAAGTGGTGTGAAGGGTGCAGGTACTTCCAAGCCTAATCTGACATGTCATGTGATAAAGAAAGGGAAACAATCACATTTGGCTAACGCTTTCTGCTAACACAAATTTAACTTGAAAGTTTTACTAACCAGGAAGAGGAAGGGGGGTCCTAAAATACACCTTGAACAGTAGAGAAGTAATCCAATATGTAATTTTTCACATCTTATACGCTTTAAAATATAATTCCTCATTGCTGGATTTGCAAATGTACCATTCAAATCACAGATTTGTTCAAGGTATACTAAAATGGAGAGGGGAAAACTGTAGTTAGTCTGTTTAAGACTCCACTGGCAAATGACGTACTGAGATGAGCCGATCCACCCATGTAAACAGTGATTTTCTGATACAGAAAAGTACTAAGGGTAAAATGTATATTGATCTTATATTTTCACATGGGAACATATATATTCTATAACAAAATAAATCTATACTGCTGTTTTTGGTGATATGGGTCATACAATCCCATCAGCCCAGTCTGAGTGCTCAAACAGAACGGCATGTAGGCTTTGCTTAGTTGGAAAAAAACATACTCAAATACTCAAAACGCTCTGCCTGAGAGGAACATTAGTTTGAAGCAAAAAAAAAAAAGACTAATAAAATACTCATCTTTTCCATCTTTATACCTGCTGTTAAAGTCATTTATAATAAAGTGTACTTTTCTATTATTGTCTTTAGAAATTAGAAGCTTTTCTGTTTTTACTGAATCTTGGCATTTTGACACAAAATATCCTCTTGGATATTTACACAGGAAAAGATACTTTTCAAGCAATAAAACAAGCTTATATCGTGGGTTGCAACAGAGTGAAACAATTCTGAAGTAAAAATGGAGAGACTTGCATAGCAGATCGAAATACGACTCAACAGAAAGTGATCCTTTTTGGTACGGTGCCCTTTGATTCATATGACTGCACAATTTCACATATGTACATGAAACAGTAAGTCCGTTCATAGCTTCACTTTCCCCACAGTTAAGATCAAGTTTGTTTCTGCACTGTTATGTTAAACAACGAGAAGGAAAGAGTCAGACAGACACCATGTCCGCTGGTCTTCTCACAAGTCCAAAGAAGTTTTAAAAACAAAAAAGAAGAAAAATGTGTTTTAAAAGTGCCATTTTGCTACATTTGTCAGCTGAACCATGGCCAGCTGCTGAACAGATAACACAAGCCATGTGTTAACCAGCCTTCCCACGTCACACAGTTTCCTGATTCTATGAGTTTTGGTCACGTGGACAGCCACACACTCACAGCCACATACACAGAAACGCACGATGACGTGACAGGAAAAAAAAAAGTGTGAAAAAGACAAAAAAAAAAGAAAAGTGGCTGGCAAGTCCGTTTAAAGATTATTTCTTTTTCCTGCGGTGATTTAACATTCCGGCTGGTAAAGCTTCGAAAAAGGACAAGCACCGTAAGAAAAAAGGCCTCAAATGTCCTCCGCTGGGGAGTTGAGCAGTTTCTGCTTGATTCTGTGCTCCCACTTAAAGCAAAGAGAAAGAAAATCTACATTCAGATTGGCCTCGGGCTAAGTCACTGAAATGTTTCAGGCTTCATCTCTCGTCTTTTTCGAGTCTGAGTCGGGCGTCGGAGCGTGGCCGGCTCCGTTCTAATGGAGGAGTCCACTAATGCGCGTCTCCGGCTCCTGTGAGGCCTTGAATCTTTGCGTCCGTGCCGAGGCGTCCGGGCCTTCACCGTCTCTGCTGAGCATAGACTGGGTATGCTAGCGTCACATTCAGAGAGTCGTTGTGCTGGACCAAAGACGTGTGCTGGTAGTGGAGTACGAGTTCCTTCAGCGAGCTGTACAGGTTGTAGGGCTCTGCGAAGCCGAAGCCTGAGGGGGTTTTGTTGATGACGCAGTGCTTCACCTCGCTGTCCACGCTGCAAAGAGAGGACACACGTCACTGTCTGCCCACAGGAAACCCATTCTAAATGAGTCATCGGGGGGTGCGTTTCAACACTAAGAATGGCCGTAAAGGACTGGGCAGATACGTACACGACGCTGCAGGCGTAGCATCCCGCTTTGCTGCTGTCTCGAACCAGGAATGTTCCGTCTCTCTTCCCCTGGAGGACAGCCTCGGCCTGAAGCCGGTTGATGTTGCCCAGCTTCCAGGTGCGCTCGTCGTGGTGAGGAAGGTCTTCGTCGTCGTCCACCATAGAATATTGACTGAAAAAAACGAAGTGACCGTTAGCGGTGAAGGCTAAATTTTGCTTGATTTTTTTTTTTTTTGCCGCTTCATTTGTAACTGCACACTTACTCCTCTGTGTTCTCGTTCTTGATTCCCAGCCACTCGTTGAGTTTTTTCTGTCTGACGCCCTTCTGGGTGAGCCACCTATGAGACGGCGGGGACATGGACGTTAGCGAGCGGGCCGATGGGCCTCGGAGGCACGGCGACGGCCCCGTGCTGTACTTACATGAGGTACTGGTCTCTGGTCTTGCGGAGCTGGATGAGGTCGGGCTTGATGCTGTTCATCCTCTTGTCGATCTCTCGGTAGTCTGCCGCCTGCTTCTTCAGATCCTCTTCCAGCCTGCGCTTGCTGTCGACTATTTCACTGATCCTCGATTTCAACTTCTCGTAGTTGCCCATGATTCTGAAAACGGGGACGGACGATTCAGTTTGGAACGTAAATCGAGCATTCTGGTTTATTGGCGGAGGTGGCGTTTTTCTGCCTTCTTACCTCTGGATCTCCTTCTCGTTGCCTTCCCTCCTGAATTTCTCAATGTACTCTTTGCTGTAGCGCTCTTGTGTTTGACATTGCTCCTCGAATATCTTTATCGTCTCGTTGAAGGCTTCGATCGCTGTGCGTTTCATTTGGATTTCCTGCGAGCAGAAGTCATTTTTAGTGCCTGATGTACAAATACGGCAGTGGAATTTTTAAACCTCCCCAATTTAGGTGTGATGTACCTGTGACGTTCTGGTGTATTCTTCATACAGGCGGTCGTACTCTTTGTTCTTTTCTTGGTACTGCTGGTGGTACTCGCAAAGCTTCCGGCCCACAGCTTCAATGTTGTCCTCTTTCACCACCTGATCCTGAAGGAAGATTGATAATTAGTAAAGAGTTGCAGTTAAATTGCCTCAGACTGAAGCTGGTTTTGAAAGTGCCGCTCCGCTCTGAGCCGACCCGGAGCCTACCTGCTGGTGCTTGGAGACTGGATACAGCAGCTTTACGTCTAGCTTAGGGTTGTACTGAGCCAGTGACTCATTGCGATAGTGGTTGATGAGCTCAACAACAGAGCTGAAGGTCAGCGGGTCTGAGAAGCCATACTTCCCATCCCGGTGAAATATCTTGATAAGCTTGTTGTTTCCACCTTTCCTGTAAGCGAAATAAAAATGGGTTGCAATAAAGCAAATGATGAAAAGGCATTTTAAAGAAGGCATTACTATGAGAAAATGAAAGGAGAAGTGGCTCACCTCAAAGTCAGAGTGTAGTCTCCGTGCATTTTGGTGGAGGCGTCTCGCACCAGGAACGTACCATCCGCAGTGTCCCTCAGTTTCTCATTGACCTCCTCCCGAGAGATGTCTCCCCAGTACCATTCGGCGTCCTGCAGAGCCATGTTGTTGTTCATACCGTTGTTAATTGCAGACGTGGGCTTGGGTGGCTTTGGAGGTAGAGCTGTGGAGACAGGACAGGCACAACCCGAATTTAAATATGTGCCCGGAGCTCCTGGTTTTCGAGCCCGATTAAAAAAAGTCATTTCAGCTGCTTTGACTATTTTTTATTTTTTCTATTCTTAAAAAAGGCTGAATAACACAGGACCGTATATGTCCTGCGTATGCTACACGCTCTCTGTGCTTCTCACTGAAGCTTTCTCCCATTGATCAAACGGACGATGAAATACTGCCCCTCTCCAAGCGAGAGGCGGCAACAGCGAGGTGGTGGGAGGAGAGATGAAGCATGAGTCAGGGGAAATAAATTTCATTCAAGAAAAAGGGCCATCTATAAATATTATTTGCTGCAAATGCAGCAAGCGGGCAGTTAGTAAAAATGGATGCACAGAAAAAAGATAAAAGATAAAAGCAGTAACTAAAAGGTTAAAATGTACCTTCCACATAGACTTTGTACCCTAAAGCAGCTGATGAACAAATCCCCGTTGAGCCCAGCTTTAATGAGGGATAACCAGATTCTGTTCCATGGATTTACAATCAATAAATCAATGTGAGTTAAACCAGCAGTTCCTCAGTCAGGCTAACGATAGCAAAGATAAGACAGTTGGCTATTTTTAACCCACAAATCTGCACTGCCTCTGCATTAGCCACCCTCCTGCAGCAATGGAGCTTGCAGAACTCGCTCACTGAACACCAAAAAACCCTTCGTTTGGCCCCGTGGCAGCGACTGTGAGCCGGCACTAAATGAGGAGCTTTACGATCCGTTTCACTGCAGCCCAACTGCTCCACCACGACACATGGTCTGCACTCCTCTGGCAGCCTTCAAACCAGAACACATTTCGTCCTCGGAAAGCTAGAAATGAGTCAATCCGGCTTCCTGCTCAGACTTCCACACGCAGAAGCGGTGTAATTATCCCCCTCTCCCACGAAGGCACAATTAAACACTTTATTACCACCTAAACAGCCATTTGAAAAGCCATTAAGAGGAGCCTGCTCAGTAACGTGTTACATCACTTACCACAGCCAATCACAGAGGGGGTCTGTCACCAACCGCTCCAGCATCTTTCATTTCCTGACAGCGATGAGGTCATTCTTAAAACACATTTCTTTCACGTCCTGCTTCAATTTTTCCTACAAAACTGCAGCCTGCCTGAAAAACCTCTGAACTTCCTCCCTGCAGCGTCCAGCATTAATCACCCTTCACAGCGAGTAAGCGGCTTTTTAGACAGGAAAAAAAAATGTATCGCAGACGGAGGGAAAAAAAGGACTGTGCAGCCTACTTTCTGCTTTCTCTCAGTCATCCCCTGCCTCCCTCTGCTCAGCCTGTCCACTTGCTCTCCTGCAGGTTGCTCGGCCCCTCCTCCTTTGGTGTGTCGTGCGGACGCTGAGCCCGTCCCACTGCTGGCACGCAGACAAAGCGAGCTCTGCAGCAGCACGTACGCAGCTGAATTATAATGCCTGGCCCGGTCAGCGGCACCCTGAGCTGCAAAACACGCCTGTAATCCCACAGCATGACACTCGGCGTGACAGAGATAGCCTACTTGATTCCCCGAGTGAAACTAAAATAGAACAAGTTCCTGGTAGAGAATTAGGGATTCCAGTGAAACCCAGTCCATCATTCATCCAGCCTCGACAGACTAATACATAGAAGTCAAATCTGATCAGATCTCACCAAACTTTTAGATTACACACGCATACACACACAAACTTCCATGAACAGAATTTAAATCCTGGTCTGTAATCTATTTGTTAATATTCGCCTTTTTTAAAGCACCAATAAATAATTTCACTGTTTTGGGCCCTCTTTGGAAAGCGGGTCTGAACTTAAGAGCCTCTGTTAAGTCTCACAGCTTCTCAGACCTACGAAACGTCTATTGCAACAAGCAGCAGTGAAACCGGACAAGTTGTCTGGAGGCTTAAACAAAAAAAACCCCAAAAGATAAGCGACTGTTCTTGTTCGGCTTAGGTCGACAGATGTGGATCTGTTCTTTCCGGCCTGAAGGGGAAAAAGCAGCAGAGACACAGTGCGACGCGTCTAGGTGACGGCAGCAGAAAACTTACGCTGCAAGTTGTGCATGTTTCGGTGGGTTAGCGGCGCCCTCTTCAAAGCCTCACTTTGACTCCGAAAAGTTAAATTTAATCCAACAGAACTGCATTCAAGTCCTCCGGTCCAGCTCCATTTCATAGCTTAGGCCGCAAAAGTGCGAGGAGGTGTCGGTTCGATTCTCGAAAAAATAAATCAAACGGCTTCTTAATGAAATCCAGGTTATCCCCTCGGCATGAGGCAGGTGCAACATGCGACTGGCTCAGTGACTCACTCGCTCTCTCAGTCTACTGAGTGTTCAGTTCCTGCTGCATGTGCTAAAGGGCTCTCTCTCTCTCTCTCTCTCTCTCACTCTCTCTCTTTCTCCCCGTCTTCTCCTTTCTGAGCTGTGTGAGGCTGAGGCCTGCTCACGTGGAGGTAGATGGTTAATGATTAGCTGGAGCTGCTGAGTGCCGGGCAGCCGGTTCTGTATACCAGCTGTGTCTCTGAGCACGGCTCTGACAGCCTCTTTGGCCCCTCCCTCTTTCTCTGTTTGTAAAGGAGGAGGTGAAAAAAAAGGTGGGGGGGGGAGGGGGCTTTAGTCTTATGATTAACTTGCAAAGTTTCAAATATTTGCTGACTTAGCACTTTGAGGGGCAGGACATGTGGATAGCCGGCAAAGATTGGACCGAGGGGGGAGGAGAGCGGCTCTAGGGACCAGGAGCAGTCCTCAGTTAACAAGAAGTGCTCTGTGGCGCCGGACGACTTTCCAGCCAACCAAATCTAAGTGGGCCTTTTGTCGCTTACTTAAAATAGCCATGCAGTAACTGGGAGGAGGCACGCAGACACCATGCAAGCATGCATACACATGGGTCATTCACAGAAACGCACACAATCTGAACATGTGTGTTTACAAAGTGGGCTCTCTCTCCTTTGGTCCACACGATTTACATGAGACTGAAACTAGTCGGGCAAAAACCTGAACCTTGTTGTTAGAGCAGGTCACACTGGCAAAAGACGCATGTCCTATCTGAGAGACGAACCAAAAAGATCCAGGTTCCAGACCATCCACCCAGTTACCCAGCAGTTTATCCAGCGATTTCCCTGCTAAAGTGCTCCCACAGGTGCAAATTACTGACAGCTGAGAACAGGCCATGCACAGGCACGTTAAAAATAGCACTAACAGGTAATAAAATGTCAGTCTCGGGCCTCTGGGCCAGTCATCCACTGTGGTTTTTAGCACTGTAAAACCAAAAATGTGCCACTGCCGTCTCAGACCAGCTCTGTCAAAGCAGACCACCAGCAAACGCTTTGCCACTAAGAAGTACTTTTCCTGGTCCCAGTGAGTTGTGAGAAAATGTATCCAGAGCAAAACCCCAAAAAGGCAAGGTTTGCATTTCCAGTCTCATCCTGTTGCCAAAACAGTCATGAGCTGCGTGTAATCTGGTGTATAAGCACGTCACACAGACAAAACTCAACATTTTAATGACATCAAATGTACCCTTTCTGCTTAACAGGCTGCAAACGATGTACAAACTCAAAGGGGAAAAGTTCATCCTTTAAATTACCACAAGTAAAAACAAAAACAAAAATCACACTCTTTGCAGCTTAGCCCAAAGTACACCGCCACAGCCGAAATGTTCAGGAATCATGGTAAAATTACCATTTGGAACACAATAAAATAAGATCACCCCGTTTTTGCTCTGTAATTCGAGCAGTGCTCCGTGGTCTTCTGCAGGTGCAGCCATTGCAAGTCACAATGCTTCTCTCAAACTATTAATAGCTCATGCAACACTGTGTGTGGGGGCAGCGTTTTTAGCCCCCGCAGAACAAAAAGAATCATGTTATGCATCCAAAAATAAATAATGCACAAATCTCTGAAGGTTTTCCTTCTAAGCGGGGCAATGCAATTGCTTAGAGAGTTGCATTTGAAAGATTTTAAATGAACCTTAACTACCTGGAGCAGCTTGACTTTCACTCCACTCGCTTGTCACCAGAACCTCGATGATCTTGATGTAAGCATCCAGGCTGGGTTCACAACTGGAGAGGTTGAAGAAAAGCAGAGTTTAATAAAAGTAAAAAAAAAAAAAAACAATCTAATGCCAATTCATTCTTAGTGCAGCTAGGGAGACAAGCTCCAACCCATTTTCGTGCACAGCTAAAACGCACCAGTGCCTGGCATTCTGCAGGCTCTGAGAGTGTGGGTGTATGTGTGACACCGCTGCACGACAGAGTCTGCACACACCGACGGTCTCAGACAAACCAGACTGCTGGAGCCGGGGGCTCACGCCTCGCACATGCACGCTCACCTGGCAGGCTGCTGTCTGAAAAACACAGGGCTGAAGATCTCGCCCAGCGACCTGGCACTGAGCAGGTTCTTGGAGCCACTCTGGCACACTCTGGCAAAGTGTCTGAGCAGACAGGTGAGAGTGAGCCAGTACTGCGGGGGCAGGGTTGGCGTGCTGGCAATGCGACGTAGCAGCTGGGCGCATTCCTCCGGGTTCAGCACCTCTGTTGCAAAAGATGAGAGAGGCCGAGGGTCAGACAAAGAGCTGTGAGAAAGCAATCCCGCATTAAAGACCTGTCTCGGCTGAAGAGGAGCTTAAAACATAAGCTTTTTCTTCAGGCCGCGAAGGGGTGGAAAAAGGCATCATATGCTGTTCTTGTAAACCACAGAGAGCCTGTGTGGTTGACAGTGAGCGTAAGGTACACTAGCAGGTGATTGGCTGCTCGGAGATGCAAGAGATAAACTTTCAGGCTTGTTTTAGTTCCTATTAACCACATATATCCTGTTTCTGGCCATGTGACGGCAAGAAAATGCAGAGCTACAGAATGAGTTTGGTGAGAAATTTTCCTATGCTTGCAAAAGGCAGCAAGAAAAAAAAAAGAAGATAAAAAAAAACTTTAAAAAGAGCTAAATTAAAACAGTGATACAATACAGCTGATCTACACTGGCACACAGAGGCTGAAAAAGGATTTGATGCAAATGTCAAAATTGAGGAACAAAGGGTACAGACAAACTCTTGCGGTTTTCAGATCTGAGTACTCGATGTACAGAAGGGCATGGGTACATTACGTCAACGCTTCTGTTTCAATGCAGCTGCAGAGGTGCCCTGAAAGTACAAGCAAACTCCCACCTTTAGCGGCGAGCACCATCTGAGCTTGTAGCGCTACGGGGACGATGGGCTGGGGAAGCTCCTGCAGGTACCTGCGCAGACCATCGCACAGGACTGGAAGTTCCAGCTGGTCCAGGTCTGTCGAGGGAGGGTCTGAAAAGGCCACAACACAAGTTGCACGCTTACACACAAGGTCAGGACAAAACAGCTCCCCGCACTTTCTGGTATTTTGAACACCGTTTAAAAACGTGCACACGGACGCCATTTTTAGCCACCACACAAGTAATTTTCTCCTCTATCAGGAAAGTTACAGGTTTCAACCTGTAACCAAATAGCTACTCACCGCTGTCAAAATACTGCCTGACTTCGAGCCCGGCACCAGCAGTAAATGTGCGGTACAAAGTAGGATTATCCAGACCTGCAAACGATGGAACACCGGTCACGTCACCAATACGGAACATGCCCTGGCACACGTGCACATACAGGTGGGCGAGTCGAGGCGTTTTGCAAGGAAACTCACCCTTCTTCTCGATAGCTTCCAGCAGTCTGGCCAGCATGGGGGGGGCCGTCTCTGGGAGGGAAAACTGCTCCGTCAAGTCTGGCAAAGAGAAGCCTGGGGGAAGATTACAACAAAGAGTTGACAACGGTAATTCTTAAAGGAGTGATTGGCTTCCCACTAATTATCAACTGGGTCAGGAGTTCATTTCCTTAGCCCTTTTTTGAAAATTACCATAAAGTTATCAGCTCAACCTGTGAAATGGAAAATGTGAAAAATCCATATGAAGTGGATGTTAAACGACATGCTCCTAGTTGCATTTTAGCCTCAAGCTGACAGATACAAACCCTTTCTCCTATGTACACCTAATCACCTTAGACAGTAAAAATACATAAAAGCGCTTTGTCTGAACTGATGATAAGGAACTGGGGGCGTCTTAAGTTGTTAGGCTTCACATCAGCACGCCATTAGCAGTCCTCTACAGATCTTTACAATCTTAAGAAAGATCCCTTTAATCTGAATCAGGTGGGCTGAAGCAGGGAAACCTTTAAACCTTTAAAACTTGCATGACAGCCGCCCTCGAGGCCCGAAGCTGCACAGCCCTGCCTTAAAGAATACTAATAAATCATCAGAAAATAATTTGTTCTGCTGCGAAAAATCTGACCCCTGTGATGACTCTCGATGGGATTCAGCTACAGCGGGCTAACAAAAGTGCTGGTGTTTGACAAGCAAGCTGCTCCGAGCTTCAAAGGAGACGGGTCCGCGACCAAAGCACTGCTCTCAAACGGAAAAGGCGCGTATTAATAAAAGGCCGATTCAAAAACAGGAGGTGCTGACAACTGAACCTGGTGTTTTGTGGGCCAAGAAACTAACTATATATAAATATCCTGTGACATGAGGTAAGCCAGGTCGTACTTCTTTTGCCCTCAGAACTCTGCGCCCAGGTGTGGACATGAAAGGTTGAAGGATTTGGCAGGGATTATATTTGGACTTGCAAAGGCGTATTTTGAAAAGGTGCATTTCTGAAAGGATCAACTGTTCAACACCAAGTCTGCAAATTCAGAATGCTAAGGAACGATGAATGGAACCTTTATATGAATCATATTTATCCTTCTTGCAACCTTAAAAATGATTACTTTAGAAAAATAAAAACCAGCCTTGAATGGGCAAGCACAGCTGTCACTGATGCCGGCAGTCGACTTATTATCAAGGAACTGCCCTCCTTCCCCCAAACAGGGTTCAATCAAGCAAATAATGAACCACTTCATCCAAATCCACATCCTCTGGGCAGTGCAGCTCTCAGGCTGGCATGTTGCGTGTGAAGAAACTGGATTACCCAAGTGCTTCAGACCACAAAACACACAAAACTCCATGTCGGACAACTGGTCATCTGGAAGAAATTATTGGAGCTGCAAACCAGGGAGGGGTGGGTGGGGTGCGTTCTCAGAAGCAGCGAACTTTGAGATGGAACAAAGTTTCCCTAAATAGCTATCGAGACACGCAGTGCAGCCACCACACACCTTGGAAGTGTAAGCTTTCCCCTAGACAAGATATCTAACACGACTCTCCTAGAAGAGCCGACGCCGTTTCTGAGAAACTCAATTCACAACCAGGGGTTATATTAAATCAAACCCAGCAACCCCTCTATTGATCACCTCCATGAAAATTACACAACACATTGCAAAACAGCTGTTTCGGCGAACCTTTCACACAAATCAGAGAGCATCTGACGAAACACTTTCAACTGAGAAACGGATTTAAAAACCATCTGCCGGCATTTCTCCCACAGCCCGGTGATAACTTCTAGAAGGGGAAAGACTCTTCCCTTTATTATTCTGCCCATGACCAGGCTATGAGTGAGACGCAGGTCAGAGCCGAGATAGAGTTGCTTCTGGGTACTGTCGACGATGTGACAGTTTTGGCGCCAATGGAATTGTATCAGGTATCGGACAAAATATGACAGAAATGCTTCCAGCCATCGGTGATGACTGAGAGAGATGAGCTGGCTTGGCGTGAGATCAAATGATAGACATTCCCGTGCAGGCTACAGTTTTCACACACCTTAAACGCCAATGCAAAGCATAGATTTGTTTGTTGTGTGCATCCTGGAGGTCTTACGCAAGTCGCACTCTGATGTTTTCCTATTTTAAGATCTGCATGGCCGAGTGCCTGCGCACCATCAGGCCAACTTTCAATGCGAGCTGGTTTCTGCGGTAACTTGGGAAAGAAATGCAGGGCGTCGGGGGCCTCTCAGGCATGCCTCTGCAAGTCTGCATGTTTGGCAGACCTCAAGATATCCCAAAGGCCTCAGCCAGTCAATAGTCAGTTAGACAACCGCAGGTTGAGGAAGTCAATGCAGCTGCCACTGGGGGACAATCTCACCGGCTCAAATGGTATGTCTGAACCGAGTAAAGTGCAGACTGTGGGCAGGACAGAGCTGGGGCACCACGGACACACTAAAGATAGCACTCACTTGGGATAAATTTAGTGAACCAGCTCAAGTAACCGGCATTTTCAGGTTATAACATTACTTCTTGTCTGAGAAAGGTCTGGCTGGGGCACACCGGCAAAAAACGTGAGACCACAACACAAATAAAAACACAACGGAAAAGACAGAATAACGCACAAAATTCACAAGGTAACCGGAGGAGAATTCATGATAAAAATGTGCTGGCAAAACTATTCAGAACTTTAGCAACTGCAGATTAGGCGCGGGGGGGGGGGGGGGGGTTAAAGCCTGCCTGAGCAGCATGGGAGGAGGCTTTAACACAGCTGACCTGCACGTCAAAGCCTGATGAAGCTCCCAGCTGAAGCAGGAAAACACACAGGCAATGTCTCCTCCTACTGGCTGGAAGACGCAGTGCAAAAGTGAAGCCGCAGCCAATGAGGAGACTGTTGCTACAGCCTGACAGTTAACCCTATATTGGGGGGAACCCACCAAAATGACCACATTTTCTTGAGGTGCACATTTCTGAGCAAAGCGAGACTTTCAGAGATAACAACCCCGCTTTAAAACTAAATAAGAAACCCTGGTATGGCTCTGAAAGAAACACTCACATTGTTCGGTGCTGTGCAGGGAGCATTTCAAACTATCAAAACCTGCCAAACATTTAGAATGATGTTGTTTTCTTTGGATCTAATCACATGAACAGGCTGTTGCGAGAGCCCGAGTCACTGCTGATTCTGGCCTGTATTTGCCGTCATGATTTGAGAGGATCCAATGCGAGAGCTTTAAAAACGGATAACCTTTAAATGAAAATGAAAAGACAGTTTTGGAGGTGAACACTTCGGTGAGTTGCTCTGGAGCATTTTAAAAGACGCACCCCTGCTGTCACTGCACCTCGTGTGCAGAAGTGGGGCATATCATGATGGTAGTTTAACCACAACGGCTTAAAGATATGCAACTGCAGCACGAGTCCTGCGCCGACAGGAGTGTTGCAATGGCGCCTTCTGTTATTGGCTTATGCATTCATGCACATTCAACAGTACAAGATGGTATGTTCCCTTAAAGTGAGGAACGAATCGGGAAAGGTAAACACCAGGGCAAAAATGATAGGAGCTGTTTTAACGTGTAATCACATTGTGTAATGCTACACCCCCTCCAGCACAAGGCTTACCTTGTCACAGTAGCTAGTCCGCCATGTCCGCCCCTGTCTCTCAATAAATCACATTTCTGGAATACCCTCCCTGTGCCCTTCTCGACATGGTGTTTCTGTGTAATCTCACCTTTGTCTTACTGCATTTCAGGGCCATCAGTCTGTGCCTGATTTTCTCACTCATTCTTAATCCTTCTAGCAGACATGCCCTGACTCCAGTAAAGAAGATTTGCCAATTCAGACTTCAGTCTCTGCACACAATCAAGTAATGAAACAGTTATACACGGTCTCGTGCACACGGCTATGTACAAGTCCGACTGAACTCACATTGGAATGTTGCAGGGTCGCTTTACGCATCACTTCGCTGGACAACAGCAAATCCCAAATTATTGCAACAGTTAGAATTAAAGGCCTGTTTTCATCTCAGAATTACTTGAAAAGAAACCCATAAGTGTCATAAATTTACTGAGCTAAAAGGTCCTGTTATTTCCAATTATCTGCTATCTGACTGAGTCACTTTGATTAAAGCCACTTAAAACAAAGGGACTTTTTAAGTCTGGTTTTAGATCCGTTTTTATTTACAGTTTAAACCCAAATGGTACTGTGACTGAACATAATGAAAGGGATGAATCCATGTCACCGTATTAGCTCTGCAGAAGCAACCACTAATACTGCAATAAGCAATCCCTTGCAGTTAGTTAGACATGATCCCCGGAGGCAAATAAGGGGATAATGATAAGCTGGCACGCATATTTAATAAAACACCCATCTGTGACACAGTCTAACTTTGGAAATTATGACGAGCCAGAAATAAATTTGAATCCAGCTTGCTTTTGATGTTCACAGTCGGATTTCCGAATACTGATTCTCCAACAACACAAGTCCAAAACAGAGTAATGAAAATATATAAGAAAATGTCCAAAGTAGTAAAAATCTGTCGGACATTCTTGGCAACGTGAATGTTAAAAACAATGATGGTGTTGAAGGGCTATAACCGGGGCGCTATTCAGCGTGCAGCCATATATTGTCCGCTCACATTGTGCCCAGTGTTACTGCAATCAGCACTTAGCACAATACTGATTCATCACAAAGCTACGAATCAGTCTACCGTGCAGTCTGAGCGCACCGTTCCACCAAAGAAGAACCAACACATTCCCGGCCTCAGCTGCCTTTGGTCCCTTCAGAGGAGGAACACGGCGTCAGAGCGCACCATAACAGCATAAACGTCTGCCCAGTGTATTCTGGGATGGATGCAGTGATCCGTTACCGTCCTTTCTGGGGGGAAAAATAAATAATCTAAATTTGAGAACATTGCAAAGGCCACTTCATGCATAATTTAAGAGAGAAGTGAAGTATTGAGGGGGGAAAAAATGACAGCACTGACAGAAAGAGCGTTCAATAGAGCAGATGTCAGGCTGAGTGCTAAAGAGGCCCAGAGAAGGAGAGCTGCATTATCTCAATCTCCAGCTATGCAGAGTACTCTCTCTGCAACTGTCCCCTCTGTACAACCTCCCCTCTCCTTCCAGTAGTCCTTTTTAGAATCCATATTTCATACTCGGGGAAAGAGCCACTTTGGGATGCTCCATATTACCACACAGTACTAGTTTTAAAAACTAAATTTTTCATTTAGGTGCAAAAAAAAAAAGAGAAGAAAAAAAGTGTTTCCACTCACAAAGGCATGTTGGACAGAAAGCACATATTATGCAAGGCTTTTTTTTAAAGTGAACTTTTGCTTTTCTGTGGGCCGTAATCTCTCATGAATCTTTACACACTGGTGAGGCTCACAGAGCAGCTCAAATTTTTCTTTGGCGTGACTGAACATGCAGGCCCAGCCTTGTGACAACATGCAGAACGACACAGGTTTTCATGCTCGTCTCTTCACTTTCGGAGGAATGCTGAGGGGCTCCCCGATGAACAGCAATTAGATGCAAACTGTACATTGGCAACTGAAAATATGTCTGTTATGCAATCGTGCTTTGTTGTTATGGTGCTTCAGCAGAAGGAAACAAACTGGTAAATGTTAACTTAAAAAAGTGCACCAATACTTCAGAAACATGCACAATATTCACGATTTACATTAACTGAATCTTTTCAACTGGAATACATCAGCCAACGTTACTCTGTGTGCTTTCCTTACAGCAGGCCCGAGCACATGTTCTCTCGACTGAGAGGCCCAGTAAAGGAGGAACTCTTTTAATGTTTATGAAAAAAAAGGGTGAGAGCTGGAATGAGGCGGAATAGCTTCCCAGCCCTGCCCTCTCCTCTTTCTCTTTCCTTCTCCACATCTGCTGCACTCATGTTAACCCCCCGCCCTTGGCTCAGAGGAGAAAGGTCCCTTTCCAAGCCTCAATCCTCCAACTTCTGTGCCCTCCCAGAGCTGACTGTAGGAACTATCAAAACATTCAAAAAAAGAAAAAAACAAGGAGGAAGAAAGAAAAAGCTGCGGTGTAGGAGGAAGGGAGCTCGATCCCTCAGTGGTGGGCAATAAATCACAAACACTCTGGGAGCAACAGGACACTCTTCAAAGCCCCCTTGAGCACATAGATCCTTGGTTACTCCCAGAGCCCCCCCCCCTCTCACCAACCTATCCCCTGCTTCAGCCCCTCTGCCAAGCCCCAAGCTTTGCTCCAGCCCTGATCCCTGTACACACTATCCCTTACACAAACCCTGGAGCTAGCACAAGGGCTCTCGCTCCCTTAGCCCGCAGCTTTGGAGCCCCCCTCCCTCTTTCCCCGCCCGTCTCCCACAGCACAAGACAGAGACTTTTTTCTTCTCCCTGCGCTACATTCACATTCGCTCCAGGCTCAACGCTGCTGCCAGTCAACCACGACATAGTCATTCAACACATGCCCCCTTCACACAGCTCCCTGCTCACCCTGGAAACCACAGCAAAGAATTTCACAACTGTGCCACAAAGAGGAGAAACTAGAAACCTGGCAGCCACAGCTGCTCTTTAGGTAAGCACAGAGCTTTAATTGCACGTTTGTGCGAGCTGCAGAATCATTAAGAAGATGCAAGTCTTAATTGCTCCTCATTTCTGTGGAAATGAATGATTTGAAAGGGACCTTCATTCAAATGACTGCATTAAATGAGAATAAAGAAACGTTCACGTCCTAAAGTAAAGTAAAGACATTTACAGTTAAATAAAGAAACCATTCTATAACCATTCCCACTGTAGGAACAGTTGTTTATGGAAACTGGTTTTGTATTTGTCCTGGCTCTACACAAAAGGTTGTGAGAATAAATTTCCCATAATCATTAACGTCCTGCTACATTTTTTTTGTTTTGTATAAGGAAGCATGTGTAAAAAAGTAGACTTTTGCTGGTCCAAACAGAAATGGTTGTGTGGCTTTAAGTTGCTTCATGTGGTCTTGCTATACTGTATAAAATGAAAATGTTCAGCATGAGACAATAAAATAAGTTTACACCACGACTCAAATAAGTTAATGTCACTTAAGGCCTGTTGCAGGTTTCTGAGATTCATAAATTTAAAGCTTCTGTCACAAACTTTTCAGTAAAAACCCAAAGGTTTGTTTACTAATTCGCTTGCTATCAAACAACACAGAAATCTGGCCCTTCGAAATAAATCAAAAGAGGCCGACATATTTATATCCAGTGTTTGTAGGATGACATAGATGTTAACCACATTTCCAAACAATAGGTAGTTTGGCTCAACTACATGGGTCTAAGGATCTTTCTCAATTCCATCTGTGGAGGATATGGGAGAAAAACAGATGATAACCACTGCGAACATATGGCCTGCACGAGACACGTGGTTGAGACGCGTGCGGAATACACACCAGTGCCACTACCCATTGGGACCACGCTTGGTGCCCATTCATGGCAGCTGTACAGCCGTTTGTCAACAGCAACCATTTTACAAGGTCAGCGTCTTTGTAAAACTTCATTACCGGAAATTCAGATGGATTCGAAATGCTTATGGTAAGCAGCGCTGATGCAGGCTAAGACGTTTAGCTAAAGATTCTGGGGAAAATATGTATAAAGATTGTTAGATACAAGTCAGATAACCAGGTGGCAGTTGTAATCGTATCTTCAGGATCCAGGGAGGAAAAAAAAAGTAGCATTCGTTGCAACATGATACGTGTACAAAAATGTGACGAGTGTTTGAGTCCAGTCGCTGGGTGTCATTAGCTGATGATTTATCTGTAGCGTCTTTTCTCAATTTACTGTTCAAAGCTTTCCATAACCCAAGATGAGATATTCCAACTTCCTGTTTTGCAAAAAAGACTTGAAAACATAAATCAACTCAATAAAAGACAATGCATATGCAACTTTTGGGATAAAAGAAAAAAAGGTTGATCTGAAACGAATGCGTGTGTGTGTGTGTTTGTGCAGTTTCGTCGTACTGAACTCACCTTGTTCTGAGTCAGAGTCTGTCTCGGCCTTATAGCAGCTTGGAGCCACCGGTAAGGGCCTCAGGGGTCTTGGCTTAGGTGTAGGGGGGGAGATCCACTTCTTTCCAACATACTCGACATAAGTCCCCGGGAAGTCTCCTTTTTCCTGAGTGGTTTCATTAAAACCGGGTAGCCAGCCAATCTCATCAGGTCGCTGTTCCAGACCATCGGTGTACCCAAGAGCCACCAGAGAGCCTTTGCTCACCAGCAATATGTCCCCCACATGCAGATCAATGTCCTCCTCCCTCTCCTTTTTGTAGTCATAAAGCGCTCTGTACTGATATCCCTCAGCACTCATAGTGATCAATTTTTTATGGAGAGGTTTTTCTCAAAGACGGGCTGCGATTGGCTAAATTACTCTTCAGGTTTCTCTGGATATGAGTTCAGTCCAGGTACTCATTTGCTGATTCCAACAAAGCTACAGCCAATGTTTTCAAGGAGACAAAAATATCTCGTCTTCATTCTTACGCAGTTCGTGTCTACTGTAGATAAACGGCTGCTCTGTTGGTGTGTCGCCTCGCAGTATGTACCCATCAGTAAATGGCCTGCAGCTGCAATCTTCAGAGTGCTTATCCAGACCTGTAAGATGAGAGGAGAGTCCATGTACAGCACAGTGCTCAAGACAATTGCAGCTTGTATTGCGTGCAACGCTCGCATGCAAGTCGGGTTAAGTGTTTAGGATATCATAAAATGTGTTACTACCAAGATAGGTCCATTTACAGGAAAGCCACGATAGGTAGGAATAATATTTAGAGTAATTAAACAAAGTCCAAAAGTGAGCAAAAGTGCATTCCAATCAAGCTATCGATTTAATATACATAAGACATATACACCAACAGAAGAGTGGATTCATTTGAACAAACAAACATGAAGTAAAAGTTGTGTTTTTAGTGCTTCGCGTCAACTAGTTTAAAGATATGGAATGAAAGTAAAATAAACCAACAATTCATATTCGACCAAGTCGTCTAGTCTTTAGTAGTTTTACTGACATACCTTACTAGTTTATTGCATCATTGAGCAATTAAGTGATTTCTTATCAGCTGTAGTAAACAATTTACTACACAAGACTTCGGTATTGTGAGCCGTTTTTTTTATCGTTTATGACAGCTTTAACAGTATTTGGCACACCGTCCTGTCCAGTCAGCATATGGCTGCTAACATGAGTGTTATCACCGGCTAAAGTCGGTGTTATAAAACTTGATCATCAACGCTGTTAACGTTTGGAAACCTCGGCACCGGAGGTTTAACTAGCAGATACTGAGTAAAGCAACGAAGGTTTCTTTTTTTCTGCACCAAGAAAAGAAACCCCCCCGACGTGGAGGCAGTTAGCCAAGTTAGCAGAAAGAACAAGAAGGAAGGAATGCAAAAGAGGCACAAAGGTGTAAAAAAAAATGGAGCTACAGTTTAAAATAAGTACACTTTAAAAATTGAGTTACACATGCTCGCTGCTTGGCAGTTTTAAGTAAAAGGCGCGAGCATTTAGCTAACAAAGTTAGCGAACTCGTACGACAGTAACTTACCAAGAGCCCACGGATCCCTCGGCGATCCCAACGAGTCTCCTTCTTTGAAGACTAAACCGCTTCCACTTCGTTCAAGTTTGTTAAACGATCGGTAAAATGCAATCCCAAACGGGTCTCTCACCTGATCAGTTCATAAGAAAATTATCTGATATAATTAAAATCCGATTTAAGGACTAGTACAAAGCGTTACCACATATTGCCAGTCGACATAAGTCCACTGTCTCCCCGTCCAGAACAAATGTTCTCTTGGACGTCGTCCCTGCGGCCAATAAGGGGCGAGACCAAGAACGGCCCCTTATTGGCCAGAGGTTCTGTCAATCAATTTCCTCATGTGTTTTGACCAATCCGCTTCCCGCCAAAGGTGCACACTCCCTCTTCCATGTACACTCGCAACCCTAAACACCTATGGAAATTACATAACTTCCATTCACACTTGCAAAGATCCTTTATAAATTTAATATGATCATCTACTTGAATCTAACTGATTAGTTTTTTATCTATTCAAAGAAATCACAGTGTAAGCTGACATAAACATACACCAGTCTATTGTATTTAGATAGACTAAAGTAGATTAAAGTATTTGTTTGTTTTATAAAGTCAGAGTATACAAGGGAAAACAACATCTAAAGCAAAATAGATTAACTATTCACACATACAGTTAGAACTGCACGCTCAGGTGCACGATTTAACATTTTAGTCTACAAATCATTAAATGTTTTCAGCTTGGACGGTCTGAAAATGTTTCTAAGTCCCCATGTGAGGCGCATGACTGTGAATGTGGGTGGCCCAATTGTAGCAGAGAAAGAGCACTGGCTTGCAGAAATCCCCTTTACTGTCCCAGCTGTACTAAAAGAGACTAATCAGCTTTGACGCAGGATAGGTCTTTTTAAGTGTTCCGCAGTCTCACTGACACCAATAGCCCTTCATAATGGGGAAAGAAGGAAGTAACATTGAGAAGGGAAGTTTTGATGGTGTTGAAACTTTCTGTGAAAAATAGGAACTTCAAACTGTTGCTGTGGTGAATTTAGAAAATTCTATAGAATGCGCTTTTGACGTCCTCCAATAAGTCATGACAACCAGGATGACTTTTCCCCTTGCCAGTCATGATATGAATGATTTACCAACAGTTAGCTGTCATCTAAAGGTAAAATAAATCATTATCATGGATGCAGGTGACTATCTTTTACACAGCATGTCAATGATTCACTTGCTGTTTTATTACATTTTAGGGTCATGAGTAAAACATAGTCCATCATCCCAATTTATTCTACTTCATCGTTTCAAAGACCATAGAACTTATGTAAAGAACTGAACCAAAAGTAATAATTCAACATCAAATAATAGACTTAATTTAAAAAGTTGATTGGCTCATATCACTCTGGCAGCCAGTTAAGTTAACCTTGCATAATAGTGTGGACAGAGTAACTTATTTTGTTGTACATAATCAGAGAGAAAACAAAGAAAAACGCTTTTTAGAATTTTAAAGGTGTTGTTTATCAATCTCACTTTCATGGGTGTTTTTCTAGTTACACCCTTAATGCTGGGCTGAGTAATATTTGATTAATACTTTCATGTAATTATAATGATCAGTTAGCAGATGTGTACGATGCCTTATATTTATGTTGTCCATAATCCTTCCTTTTATCTATTCACCACACAAAAATGAAATTATAAAGATTTAACATGTGTTGAATGAAGATTTTTGAACCAACAGTATGATGATTGCTCAAAAATTGGGAAAAAACATATATGCATATGTCTCAAATTTTGTAAACAAAAATTCTGTAGGTTCAACCAAAGGAGGAGAGTTTGAACATTTATTCCTTCATACAATTGGTCAAGAAAAGTTGACTTGTACCCAAAATAGCCAACCGTGCATGTATGTATCTGTCCAATAAAGTTGGATGTAAGAGATCACAGTTATGCTGCTTTTTAAGTGCCAGCTACGAAGGATTCAGTGAGATTGCCTTTCCAAAATTGTGTCATTCACACAAGACAATGACACATTCAATCACCAACGGATTAACAGCTATGAATGTGGAAGTCAACGTTCCCCCTCCATGAAGCCCCCATAAACCATAGAAATTGAACAAATTGGCCCACTCTAGTCTGTGGAGCTCTCGGGTTTTTGCCACAGACCCCGACTCTATATTCACAGGTTACTTTACTTTTGTGAACAAGCTGAGAACTTTCGCATGCAACCCCATGATGCTCACCAATATAAGATGAACTTGTGAAATGCATCACCAACCAACGGCTATCCAAACACCCCCTCTAAAAAGGGGAAAAAGATACTTCCTCCTTGTGCTTTGGTTCCCTTTTCCTATTTTTTGCTTCACTTTACACTTTTCCACCTTTTGAGATACGGTTGTTTCATGATATAAAGCGTCATTCAATGTCCTTCCAAACTAAACTTAAAACAGATTTAATGATCAAATTGGCCCCGTGGACGTCTTTTATGACCATGATAACCACATTAATTGTTACATATAAGGCTTTTTTCATCAGCAGGCCTTGTCTATTAAACTCTTAAATGAGATGTTTTGTGCCTTAGTCTTAGTGACTATCATGTAATTCTATAAGCTTATGATATCCTAATGAGACATTAGCCTACGGCCATTTTCTGCCAAAGTTTTAATAAAAATAATTCTATCACCTCTTTTTTTTTGTTCTGTGAAGTTTCTGTCCATCATATCATACTTTTTTCCACATTGTGGATTGAGAAAGCACAGGCCTACTTACATACTTGTCATTACGTACTTGCCAAAAAAACATCATGGGCTGAATCATGGGCTGAATCAACATGAAACATTTCAAAGTCTTACATAGGAAAGTTTGTCTTCATGTTTTAGAAGTGTTCCTACCTGCTGGACAACATGAAATACCAACCACTGTGCACAAGTTGCAGATGTAACATAATATTTCTTTAATTCACTTTCATAGCGAAGTGTGGTTAACTATTCTGTTTTTCTTGGCCAAAGGGAAATGCAGGGGCCTGGAACATTGTCACTTCACACCAACTGAGGAAATTTTGACCAAGGATGTGATAAAAAACATATTCATTGCATATAATGAATACATATTTTTCTCACATTTGCATAGAGTTGCATAAAGCTGTAAAATGTATGCAAAAATATCATACTTTTGATTTGCATGTAGTATCAGATTTTCGTTGAACTCCTGCTACACATGTGTACATTTTTTATGAATGTCAACCATATTGAAGCTATAAATTCAACTTTATCATTGTTGGAGAAAGCTTTATTTCCATCCAGCAATGGTACAGGACCAAGTCTACTCACACTAAACATAACAAACAGTAAGCATACACAGGAGCAAGAAAATACAAAATACCCCAAAAATTTAAAGATACCAATAAAAAGAACAACAAATAATCAACATCATAACTCCCTTGAGCAGTACACATACAGTATTTGCACATGCATGGTTGGCACAACTTACGTGTGTTATTGTATTTCTGTGCAGTAAAGAGTTAAACTAGTGGAACATCAGGGATGTAGTACATGTGATCATGTTACATTATGTTACATTATGTCCTGCAGCGCAGGCCCCTGTGCTGCAAAAAGGATCTGATATGTAAGAGTGTTTTTATACATTGTAGTTTTACACTTACATAATAAAATCATATATCCTCATAGATTTTTTTTGTCCACCTTAACATAGGGGTAGAACCAAAAGTATTAAGGATATCATATTTTGTCCACCCATGTGTTGTTGATTGTTGAACTTGTTCAATTCTTTCTTGGCTGTGCATAAAAGTAAAAAACAGTTACTGTTGTAATATATTTAGTGGCACTTCTCATGACTCCTTCAGACACATTGCCCTGTTCAAATTCTGATGGAGAACACGTTGCTGTCTTTTCCAATAAGTGAAATGCGTCAACTTTAAAAATAAAAAAAATCTAATAAAAAAAGATCAAACGGAAAGAAAATGGAAACCTTAAGGAGTGGCCACATCAACTGTTTGGTTCAACCTGACGAAAAAGAGGTGAGCAATGAAACAATACAAGATCTGAATCTCCACTGTGGATAACACCGGTGGATCATTCTTTGATTGTTTCCATATAACAGGAAAACTCCTTTACAACATCCAACTAAGAACACTCCCCAGGAGGTAGACATATCATTATCCAAGTCGAGCACAAAGAGAAGACTGCTGAGTGTATAGAAAGGGTTCACCACAAGGTGCAAACCACTCATAAACTCAGAAATAGAAACCAGTTATTAGATTTTACCATTATCTTAAGAAACCAGATGAAATCTGGAACAGCTTTCTTTAAACAGATGAAACAAAGATGTTGCAAGAAATTGCTGTTTAAATTCAAGAAGGAGTGAGACAGTCACTCGTTTCTATTGGTGGTGCGACAGCAAAAACCAGTGGCTGAATAATGAAGTGTGAAGGGAAATACTGTCTGCTCAGAATCAGCCAAATGCAGTAAAACGCACAAGCTTATTGGACAGCTCTTTACACTACAGATGGCAAGTGACCTAAATTTTACTGTGAAAGCCACACGAGGGCTTTTGAAAGCAAAAAAGTGGAACATTCTGCTCTGGCCAAGTTAATTATACGATCTCAACCCAATCACACAACATCTTACCTGCTGCAGGCAAGTCTAAATTCAGAAAGACCCACAAACAAACTATACAGCTACAGTAAAGACCCAACTGATCTTCACAAATCCATGAGTTCCAGACCTCTGCCAGCCACGCCTGAAGCAGATTAAAATCAAAAGGCATTAAAATCAAAATGGCATCTATGGTTTTATTCATTATTCCACTTATATTTGAGTTAATGAAAGAGAGTTCTTCCAGAGATCTGTTATCTTTAAACCTGCCTGTTAAATTTTTATCTGCACTTCAAACCCCCATTTACCCTACTCAGAATTCCACAAAAATAAAGTTTGAAATGCACAAACAGCATCCATGAACCGAAACAGGTTTAAAGAAGAATATGGTGGTATGAATATTGTCAAGTCGGCAGAAAACAGATCCAACTCTGTCGATTCTGCCTTGCATTAACTTGCGTGTCTTGGGGGAAAAGCACTGCAAGGTGATTAATGAATAATGTTGGTAAGTTGCCCTGTGGACTTCCTTGGAGATCAGTGACACAGTCACAAACCTGAACCGTCACTTTGTGTGAGTGTTTGGAGGACGAAAAATGCTTATTGTTGCATATTGTCTCAGCATTGTCGCATCTTCCACAAAACATTACTCAGAAATCATTCATGTTGATG